TTCTTCCTCACCTCTGGCAAGCAGGTCCAATCCAAGCCTTTCAAGGTCTCGTCTAGCCGTAAAAGCGTTCCTCGCGAATCGTTCCTCCCGAGTGGTAATTTTCTGGATTCCGGCCTCTTCCTTTCAAGAGAGTTGGGACTCTCAATTAGTCCGCGAGTGCAGTTACAAAGACCTCGCAATTAGTCCCGAAACGGTTGTAATGTTCTGGCAGGGCAGTGTCAATGCCCCGTGGTGGTGGCGGAGATCATCCGGTACCTCGCCAAGCCTCTCCCCTTGGACAGTGCCACCCAACTTAGCGCGGGCAGCCGTGGTCCGACCCGAACGGCCATGACACCCCTCTATGACACGGCGTGTGGTTGGAGAATGACAAAATAGATTAGATGAGAATGACTCTCTCGCCCATTTGGCTCTCTCGCCCTTTGACGTTTAGGCATTTAACAGGAGGCGCAAGTTGAACTCCCCGACTAAAGCCTATTGTCGGAGGTGGTTCTGGACGTCCCGCACCGATGCAAGTGGTAGGTGCCTTGGTCCTTTAACCCTCATCTTCTTGTAAGAGGAACAGGTCGCGCTGAGACTTTTCCCTTTAAGGGATAGAGGTCTTCGAGTCGCAGTGCATGCACCGGTATCCCCCTCTTGCTGAGGCCACAGACTAGAAAGAAGGAGAAATTTCATTTCAATGCTCTTTCCAAGTCCATTTCAAGTTGTCTTGGGTCCCCTGTTTATGCAGTGAAATTTTCAATACTCAATCCGATTCCAATGCTCAGTCTCATTCGCATGCTCAATCCCAGTCCAAAGCGGAATGCAATATCTCTTTCAAGGCTGAGTCTCATATCTTTTCCAAGCTCAGCTCTTCCCAATATCTTTTCCAAGGCTCAGCTCTTCCAATATCTTTTCCAAGGCTCAACTCTTCCCAATATCTTTTCCAAGGCTCAGCTTTTCCAATACCATGCATCTCAAGCAGCCATGCAAGGGGACCCCAGTGCCAATTCCAAAGAATGACCCTTGTCAGGGGCCATTCCGAACAACCTGGTTAGGGTTGCTTTTTCCAATTTCAAGTCGAACAGCCTGGTTAGGGTCATTCTTATCCATTGCAATCGACAGCCTGGTTAGGACCATCCTTATCCATTCCAATTGGACAGTCTGGTTAGGGTCATCCTTGTCCATTCCAATTGGACAGCCTGGTTAGGGTCATTCTTGTCCATTGCAATGTTAGCGCCCTAGGGGGTGGGCCTCGAGGACACGGATCCTATCTCGTCTTGGGGGTTCGAAGGCGGCTATCTTCTTGGGTTTTTACGCATGCTTCTTCCTTTTCCTTATGTCGTTTGTCAATCTCACATTCATCCATACATCCGACTTAGCGTCTAGTGCTCGAATTGGGACTTGCGTTCCCAAGTAGCACTAGCCCCCCCGACCGTTCAACCATTGCAAGGGGTGCTGATTCATTTCAATGTTTCGCTCCCACTTTTCTGACCTCTGATATCGTCTCAATGCTCGGGACTTGCCTGGGATAGGTTGGATTAGGCTCCGAGGGAAGAGGATGCCTCTTGACCCATAGGTCCCCTAACCTCTCACAAAGACTCGTGCAATGACTCATTCAATTATGGTTACACAATTCAAAAGGAAAGCTTTCGTCATCAACGTTTCTTCCAACATTCGAGAGTTCGCATGCCCTTGCTCATCTCCTCGAGACAAAGTCAATCACCCCGAGTCCCTTTCTTACTACCAAAAATGCTAAAGTTTTCCAAAAGGAGCGAGTACTCATACAAAGTAGCACCGGTCACCCACCCCCTAGTAGTTTCTTCAATTCAAAAAGTAATTACGTCGCAGTCTTTCCAAAAAAAAACGAGGAGACAAGGTTCGAATGCAACACAACATTACAGACTTGTCTCATCTAGCTCCCTCTGTTTTTCCCCTTGCCTTCCCCTTACACAAAAAAACCCAACCATCCACAGTTCTATTTTCTAAGTGCAATGACCCTCATGTCCTTTTCTGATGAAGCAACTACTTGTGCGAAGTAGTACTCATTACCCAGTCCTTGGCCATCTGCGGTTCAGAAAGTTGTCCCGTCGTAGTCCACTAAAAAAAAAAAAAGAGTTCAAATGCAAAATTCAAAATGGCAGTTCCATCTTCCCAGGTACCAATCCTCCCCCAATTCCTAGCTAAACCCCATTATGCCTGCTATCCCTGTACTGTCCAACCGCCCTACGCCGAACCTCCCTTGCACGATCCTCAATCTCTTGCTGCATTTGTCGCTTTATTCCCTGCAATTGAAGGAGCGTCCTCAATGGGTTCTTCCTCCCCCAACCTCTGTCTTTTCCCCGGGTTTTCCTCTTCTTCACTGCTGGTGTCGCTTTCAAAGGGAAGGATTATCGACTCCCCTTCCCTCAGGGGTGACGGTCCCTTAGTTCCTTGCTTTCTACCTCCCCTGTTTACCGCCAGATTGTGCTCAAACCCCACGTACAACTTTCTTTTTTCTGGAGCTCGATTCCCCTGCCTGTCTTGTTGGCTGTTGCTCATTAGGCCGGTTGATCGCGTTGCTGTCATTCTCGTTCCCAAACTCCATTTTGTCTTTTCTTGTTACTTTCTTCTTGCCTGGTCCTGTCCATGCAGAACAGTCATCGCATCCCCTCATACGCACACAACCCCTCCCATCCCCTTTGCAGATTTGCAGGCGTTCCCAGAACCCTTGCTTACCCTCGCGCAATTGGCGATCCCATCACCCCTTATATCCCTTGGCACGTTGGCCCCACACATAGGTACCTCATGTAGACGGTCTACGACTTCACCCCACAAAAACTATGGTACATTGTCCCATGCTCCCAGCCCCATCCATAGTTAGCCCAGGCAGTCTCCCCACATTCCACAAGAATAAAGACACACAAACGAACAATCCCTGTGGTCATGATCGCTTCCACAAGGGGGCGGTCCAGAACTATAGCCAGCTGCCTGCCTTTCAAGCTGTCACTTCCCCTGTTTCCCTGTCCCGGGCTTCTTGTAACCGTTGTTCCACAGGATCCCTGCTCAAAAACCTGGCCAGCCTTTGTCCCGGGAACGGCCCCCTTATGCTAGTGCCATCAAGGTCCTCAAGTTCGAACGTGTTCAGTCCCACCCGCTTAGCGACCCTGTAGGGCCCCTTGAACCTCTTTCCCAGCTGTCCAGACCGTGTGCTTTCAAGAGCGGAGTTCCTAACTAGCACCTTTTCCCCTACTTGGAGCGGCTCCTTCCGGATATTCTTCACCTGATCCCACCTTGCCTTGTCCCTCATCCGACTATCCTTCACATGATTAACCACTTTTTCCAATGCCTCCTCATTCATGACGACCTGTTGGCAACGTGCGACAATTAACTCCTCCGTTGTCAAGTGTGGATCCTCATCTAGCCTGTTCCAGGTAGGGACGAGGGCCTCTACTGGGAAGTCAATCTCCCCTTCCATACCACAGCTCCGCTGGAATGCACCCCGTCGTTCTCTTTGGTGTCATGTTCTAAGAGAAGACTGTCTGCTTAAGGTACCGCGGCCAATTCCCCAAGTCGTTTGCTGCCAGCTTAGCAATTGTGTTTTTCAAGGTCTGGTGGCCCCTTTCTACTGGTGCGTTTGCCTCAGGATGATAAGGCTCAGTGATCTTGATCGGTACGCACAATGTCTTAAGCCTACTCAGCACCTCCTGGTTGACGAATTCTGTCCCATTATCTGATATGAATCTGCGCACAAAGGGGTGTCTCAGGTAAAAGTCTTCTACCCAATCGGCCACTCCTTTCCCTGTCTTCCTCTTGAGGGCTACGGCTTCTACGTAGCCGCTGAGATTATCCCTTGCATCCAGGATGTACCTATACCCATCCGTTGACACGGGCATGACCGCAAGATCGAGATGGACAAGGTGCCCTGGTCCCAGCACCCGAGTAGGCCTAAGGGGCTCAAAAACCCGTGCGGAACTCCTCTCTTGACATATGAAACACGTTTGACAGTACGTTGCGACCATGCCTGCCATTCCTAGCCAGAAGTACAGGGGCGCGATCCTTGCAAGTGTTCCTTTTGATGACCGGTGACCCCCAGCCAGCCCATCGTGCATTGCCTGAATTACGTCAAACTGCCTAGACCTTCCGCAGACGACACGCCTAGGTATCATCCCTTCCTCTTTCTTGAACAAGTGACAATTTCTTACGACATATTTTTCAGCTTCCTCCCTTGCCTTGAGACTGACTTCCCCGGGTTGCTTGTTCCCTATAAGCAGCAGACCGATTTCTCTAAAGACGTCCTCATACATCTATATGAGGAAGAATTCTTGTTCCTTCTTATGAATGTCCTGCTCCTCCTGGGTCTGATTAACTAGGTACTGCCACTCCCTTTGCGCCCAGGTTTCTGCTAAGGTCATCACGGTGTCCCGTCCCCCTTCAACAACCATTGCCATCAACTCCTCTTTAGGCCCTATTGTCGTTCCCCACGAGTCATTTTCCTCTTTGCGCCTAAATGTAGTGACTGGTCCCTCCTTGAGCTCTGCAACTACCGCGGGCGCAGAGTCTGGATTAGCAGCTGACCCTTGCGAGCGTGGAATATGCCATCTCATTGTCTACGACAAGGGTTCCCCCTTCGTACTCTAAGAAGGCGTCGATTGGTTCTACGTCCTCTATTCCCTCCAGCGTGATGCATACCCTACTCAGCCCATCTGCCCTGTTTCGAAGCCCCGCAATCCGCTCGACCTTGTAGTCGAACTGCCATATGAAGCCTATCCATCTGTCGATGGTTGGATATATAGGCTTATAATTTTTCAGTGCCCCGGCAACATTGGTGGGATCGATCCTTAAGATAAATCGCCTCCTAAACAGGTATGCTTGGAAGGTCTTAAGACAATGTAGGATCGCTAAGACCTCTTTCTTGAACTGTGAGTGCCACCGTTCTGCCGAATTCAAGGTCCTACTTTCAAATCTGATTGGCCTTTCCTTGCCTTCCTCGCTTTTCTGTATCAGTACCCCTCCTACTGCCAGTGGTCCCCCATCTGTTTCTAGGATGAAGGGCCGTCCTACTTCGTCACCGAAGCAGGGTGCTGCTAGGGTAACCTGATCGGAAGACAAAATGTCTTTGAGGGTCTGGGCTGTCGCCTCCCTATCATCGGTCCACTCCATAGTGCCTTCTTCCCTATCGCGCGGATAGGCTCTGCTATCTTTGCGAATCCTTTGATAAAGATCCTCCAGAACCCGACCACCCCTAGGAAGGCTCGTACTTCCGTCGTGGGGCGCAAGGGTGTCGACCACTGAGAAATCTTATCCGTCTTTGCCGAGTCGGGTCTCCTCCCATAAGCTCCACAGCGAAACCCCAATATGGTTACTTTCGGGACAGCCAGGATGCTCTTTGGTCGACTTGCGGTGATGTTATAAACCAAAAACCGTTGGAGTAGGTCCTTGATATCCTGCAGGTGATCCCAGACAAACTTCCGTAGGCCCGGCTCGACTTCTGTCTCATCTTTGTCTCGCGCGCCCTTTAGAGGGTTATCGTCTATATATGACTCACATTTCTCTGGGAACATATCCCCTGCTACGACAAGCATCCTCCTTTGCGCTTCCTCCACCGCGTTTGTGAATCCCATAGGAGTCACTTGCATTTGCAACTGTCCTACCGGTGTGTGCATAGCGGTGTACGGTCTATCCCTCGCATCGAGCGGCAGTTGGTCATATCCTGAGTACAGGTCTATTAAGGAGTAAATGCTTCGCCCAACGTGAGATTCTGCCAGTAGGTCAGCCTGTGGGAGCGACCCCGCATCCCGGATCGTTACCGCATTTAGCTTCTGCAAGTCCTGGATCCACCTGAGCGTCTTGTTGGGCTTCCGGAAAACGAACCACTTGTTCGCGTAGGGGGATGCGGTGGGTTCAGCCACGAACGAATCTATCTTGCCGCTAAGCAGGTCGGTGATCTCTGCTGCTATCCCAAACTCCTAGGCAGGCCCTTTATCATTCCAACACTCATGCTCGACCGTGTAGATCCTAACAGGGGGTATTAGTTTCGCATCTAACCGTCCTTTCTGGTGATCATTGAAGGCAAAGGCTAGATGAAACTCTGGACACGCCATCCTTATCAACTTAGTTTCCTCTGTTGTTAAGAACCCTTCCACCCCTATTTTCATGGTTTTTGCTACTTCATCAGGTATCCGATGCCCTTCCGCTGCTCGCCTCTCCCTTATTACCCGCAGGACCTCCTCCTCCTTTTCCAAGGCCTCTTCCTTTGATGTCTCCACTAGGATCGAGACCGGCTTAGCCTTCCTTCCTACGGGTTTGTACTTCCGCACACTGCCTTCTGGGATCGTTCTCCTAAAAAATGAACGGTCGGGATTGGCCTTGCTACCTCCATTATGCGGGGCTGGATGCTAACTATCTTTCCATTCAGGCAGTAGCCCTTTCGGACCTCATCCTCGAACTTGGCAAGTGCTGCCGGGTCTACCCCAACTTTGTGATATCTAATAGCTTTGATAAGCTGTAGCAAGTCTGGGATTTCAAGGAGTACTTCTGACATTTCTTTCTGGCCTTCCTTGGGAAGGCTGGCCCCAAGTTCAACTTCCGATTTTTTTTCTGCGACCATAACCTCTAGGACCTCGTCCTCTTGCCTCCTTTTCTTCAGAGGCAGGCCCATTTTGATCCACTCGTTTTTGCTGAAGGCCTCCTCAATCATGATTTCTACTCTCTCCCTCATACCTTCCATTCGTGCGAATGCCCCCTTCCGCGCACTTTCTTCGAATGTTGGCGACCAGGTTGCCAACTTGCCCTTTGGAGGGTCCCCTCCGGTCCCAAGAAGTCGGAGGAGTTCTCCACGGCCGGTCACTGGGTCTTCTATGTCTACCATGTATGTGCCGTCATGCAGATGCATTCCTATCATTTCTATATTGGCGCACCACGGTCTCCCGATGATTATATCATGATTTATTTCTTCCATCATGGTCATCCGCTGAAAGGACCAAATAGATTCCGGGATTCCTGCCTTAACCGCACATTTGGTGGCATACCCTGTGAAAGGAATTTCACCACCGGCTCCCCGGATACTCCTTGCTACTTCCTTGTTTACCGTACATCCCGTGACTGTTGTGAAATCTCGTCGTATGAGGGTGATTTCTGCACCGCCGTCCACTAACGCGTCAGTGTGGTGAGTTTCGATTTGGACTTTCAGCTTTCCTACGGGCAATGCATGGAAGCTAAGTTTCGTCCCGGGTGGTACCTTCATGACTTCGCCTCCTTCTCGGTTCGGTAAGCTTAGGCGGATGTCTGCAAAGGCCTTTTCCAGGTCCTCCAGATCCTCGAGAATTCTTTGGAGGTTGGAGACGCCTTGGGGTGCCTCTGCCTCTTCCATCTCCTGCCCCTGTGGTTCCGGATTCTCCTCTACCTCTACGCGCTTACGCGTTAGCAACTGCCTGAGTCCTTTAAGCAGTTTTGGGCTGGCTTGCAGCATGGTCGAAAAAGACACTGATACCATGGTACCCAACAGCTTGCTCAGGGTGCCATCGATTTCAGGCGAAGTCAGGATTGAAATTTGATACCTGAACTTCTTCTTTGCCGCCATAGCTTTATCTACCGGGTTCTCCTCCCTTACTTTTCCATAGACCTTCTCTTGTTCCCCGACTTCGGTCTCTTGCTGGTCTGCGCTAGTCCCTGGGAGTTCTTCCATTACTGTATCTTGAACAAGCTTTTTTTCTGCGTCGGCCCGCCGAGTGGTGATATTTACCCTATCCTGCCCATTGCCTTCTAGGATAAAATTGGCCTTGGTCCACGTCCCCTTGGTTGATCCTAAACAATCTCGGCTATCGGCTCTGCTTCTACGACTGCTATCTCTAAGTTATTCAGGAGGATGACGACTCATCGCATCCCTCCTGGCGAGTTCCAATTTACACGCTCCCCTTGGGGTCCAAGAATCTCGCCTTTGAGGGACCTACTGCACCTTTGTCGCTCAATACCGTGATTGAGTCTTGGGCAAGCCCTCACGAAATGTTCGATCATTGTGCAGTACTTGCATCGTTCGTTGGTCGGATCCCTCCTACCAAATCCCCGATTAGCTACGGCTGCCGGAACTACGGCCTCTTGGGGCGGGAGGGCGGGTCGGGACACCTGTGCCTGCATTACTAATAGCGCATTTTTCATTCTGTCCATCTTGTTGTCAACCCCGTGCACCCTTTCATGCAGGCTCTCTATTCCCTTCTTGACCTTATCCCCCGTCTTCCCGGTCAGGTCTATAACCTCCCCTTCCTTAAGTAGGGTTAGGGTTTTCGTTACCACTGTCTTCTCTGCAAGATCTGTTACCGTACTGAAATCCACGTCCCTTGTGTATTCAAACTTACTGGTCTGCTGGTAAGCCGACAGAATCTTATCCTTGTCGAACTCAGAGAACTGCCTAAGGAAGTACTTGCTCATTATACGATCCGTTACCCCGGGGATTCGCATTGCCACTAGCGTGAACGCCCTCAAAAAGTCATTGTAAGTAGCATAGTTTTTCCTTTGGACTGCCGCCAATTCAGCCTCTGTTGCCATTTTTTCCGCCTTCAGGTACTTTCTCATCATCTCATTTCGGGTTTCTTTCCAGGACCCGCTAGAGGCGACGATAGCCATAATGTCCCTTCCTAAGCTCAGTGACACGTGCTGTCCTAAGTGGTCCATTTTTTCCTCTTCAGTCCATTTCAGTAAGGCTGCTAGATTCTCGTAGTCTATCAGGAATTCCGTAATGTTTGCCCCATCGAAGGTAAGTTTTTTTTTGGCATTCGCAAGATATCCCTGATTCTTGTTGAGCGCCCGGGTGAGGGTGACTACTATCCTCTTGAGTCCCCCTTCAGAGCTACCCGCCTCTCCGACCGCACTAGTCCCCTCTCCTTCATTGCTTTCCTTTCGCTTTTCCACAGCCTTTGGTGTACCCTCCGGATCAAACCAGCCTAATACCCTCTCCTTGAGACTCCAGAGTCCATCACCTCCCTTCATTACCTTCGGCGTGGTGGGCAGACGACTAGCGTCGCTATCGATAGCCGGCAGGGTCGTGGCCTTTTCTGCCTTTATGGCCGGTGAGTCCCCCTTTTTTTGTCCCTTCATGCTGGGTGTTCCCCTATGGCTATTATCTTTTGCTTCGTACCTGGCTTCACCCTGACTGGTCCTACGTCCTTCTCGTGACCCTTCCCCCTGGGGATCCCCCTCATTCCCAACCATCATTTGCTCCATAAGTCTTGCCTTATACTCAGCAGTCCGCCTTTCAATTTCTGCCAGCTTACGACGTGTGTCTGAGACTTTTGTTTTCTTGGGTGTAGTTCCTTCAGAGTTCCGAGGGCTTGGCCTTTCGTTCTCCCTTTCTTCTCTATTTTCCTGCGGTCCCCTTTTGCTACCCCCAGCTTTCCTTGAGCTTTCCCCTGTGGAGCGGCCCTTCCCATCTTCTCTGGTCCCCTCTCGCTTCGCTGATTCTCGATCTGACCCCTCGTTCCCTTCCTTGTCCCTATCCGTACCCTGACTCCCTCTGCTCTGTTGGCCATCGTTCTGCTCTTGCGACGCCATCTCTTTACCTAGCCTGCATATGGATGGCCAGTTGTTCATAGCTTCCCCAGTCTCGGCCCTAAAGTTAGCTTGTTCCCATGCTTTTTCCGTCTTACATTAGTCGGAAGGACTCTTCTGTCTTTTCCTTCACGGAACGTCATTCAAATTTTCTTCCGCCGAGGGGCTTGCTGCCGAGGTTTGGCACTTTGTCACTGCCGTATCCCAGTTCTTAGGGCGGTGTCTGAGCCCAGTGACTTTCCTATTAAGGATAGTCCTTTCGGCTATCTGACATCCGATTGCCCCTGCGTTCTTAGTGCAGGTGGCCCTCCTAGTTCCGTCCTGCCACATCCTCGGGTACGGCGGAACTCCGACCACTGCCCCCTTTTGCTGATGGCTACCTTCCTATCTTGATATCCATCCTCTATTTTTCCCGCCTTTCCTTGGCGCCTTTCCTCACGTTGGTCCCTCAGGCCTGCCTTGTTCGTCTGGTTCCTCGAACAGGTCAGCCACCCCGGTAAGGTATTTTTCTCCCGTTTCTATTTCCCTGTTGATTATCGGTTCATATTCCTCAAACGACAAGCGGGGCAATCCAAATATCACGATTTCGATGAGTTCGAGTAGTTCCCAGGCCTGGTTCCCCCAAAACGGCCCATGCTTAACCGATACATCATAAAACATTCTCGTTGTCTGTGGTTGGAAGTAGTGGATCCAGACCAGGGTTGAATCCACTAAGTCCCTTGCCCTTTTGAGGCTGTCAAAAAACAAGTCTACCATGATGCGGGGGATTCGGCACCTCAGCCCTGTCATTGGGGCCTTAAACTCTCGCCAACCTCCTGCCTCCACCTGGGTCCTCAGCCCCACATTCCTTCTCCCTCGCACTTCTTGGCCTACTCGGTTTAATACCCTAGTGGCTCTTTGGAAGATTGGTAGTAGCCCGTGCCCCAATGCCAATTTCGTTCCTAACATGTGTCACCTGAGCTCTGGTAGGTATACTGTTCCAGTCACTCTGAGGTCAGTGTACAGGTCGTCCCCTGGCCCCCTATTAATCCTCATACCATCCCGCAAACATTCCACCATCATGAACGCCTGGTCTCTTCCCAAGGTCACGGCTCTCCATTCCGTATCGATCCCTCGGATCCTGCAGCTTGCCGGGAGTGATACCTCCCATCCGTCTCCGCTTTCCGTGGGCGGCCGGGGGTGCGTGGGTCGTTGCGACATCCGGGCACGTCTCATCGCCATTATTGATTAGCGGTCCCCTGCACAGTTTAAACAGCAAGCGAGTTTACTTATTTCATTTATCCTTCACCCTCACCTGAGCAATTCCCCGGTCCTTAGCTCGGTGCCTCTTTTCCTCCCTATCCCTTTCCTTTTCCTTGGTTTTTTTACCAGCCTGTTTCTTCTTATCTCGGCTCATACAACCGATATAGGTCATCTACGTACGTCATCCCATGACTTATTTCCCGCCGGACGACGCCCCACAGAACTTCATTACTTACCACCGGAGCCCTTGGTCTAGTGGTAAACACTGCGCGCAGAATTCGCAGCACCTCATAAAACGGGGGTAGCACGCATCTCATCGTCCTAAGGGGGCGTCTCATATTTTTCTGGTCTCCGAGTTCCACTCGCACCTCCATCCTTTCCATCTCCATTTTTGCCCGCTGACATGCCGCCCATACTACCTCCCGTTCCGCTCGCTCAAAGAACTGATCCGGTGCCGTGCCCAGTACTAGCCCCACTACCATTGCATTTTCCATTTCCTGAGATACGTAGACCCATTCTCGAGCTTCCACCGTTCCCCGGAATTCTAGGTCCATCAGGCTGGGTGAAAGTCTTGTTAGGCTGACCTTAGTCCAGATTGTCTCTATCTAGAGGAACGCGTCCTTCTCGTCCAGCATCACGGTTTCATAAGCTGGCTCTAGGTCCGTCCACGTTCCTTCCTCCAGGAGGACGACAGATACCCCTTCCCTTACATCTATGGGCATTTCCGGACCGCTAGAGTAGACAGGGGGCGACAACCATCGCGCCATCCTGTTTTTCCAGCGCCTATCCTGTTTCCACATGAGAGCACCACACGGCCCTTCGTGGTCAGATCGCCTCCTTCCTAGATGAGAATTACTTTCAGACCCTTCCCCTGGGTTTTCCCTCAGCATTTCCCACCCTTTTCCCAAGCGTCGCTGCCCTATCATACCCTCAATCAATCATCCTCAGCCGGCATTCCTTTTTCTTGGTTTCATTTCCTTCCGACTCCTATCCAGTCTTTATCATCATGTTCTCTCACTCGTGCGGACTTAGGCAGGAGGTGGGATTAGACTTAGCAGTTCAACTCTCATTCCAACATTCACCAGGCAAACTTTACAGAGGGGGGCACAAAAGGAAAAAATCAAGCAGTCGTCGCACACAGGCCGGTCATCTCCTCACCGACTTTTTCCCAAAAGTGGTCTCTCCACTGTTACTATTGGCAGAGTTTTATCCCGTACCTCAAGCACAACTCAACCGTCGCGAGAGCGGTACCCAGACTCCAGTGGGGGGTCACCCTCACCTTCTTGCCAAGAATACCCCATCCCGACTTGCCGCTCGTGTACCCACCGTTAATATCGGGAATCACCCCGCACATCTCGGTAGGGCCATTGAGCCAGCCGTCCAGGCAGTCACTTCCATCGGTCCGATAAGGAACAGCCTTTCCCAACCCAAGCTACGAGAAGCTACTAATCGTCCCCGAGGCTCCGTCTGTGCCCGCATGTAGTGGTACTCCCTCCGCCAGCCAACAGGCTAAGCCCCACATGAGGAGATTTCACACCCCGCCCGGCAGATCATCGAGCCAAAGCTCATCACCGCTCGAACGAGAATGCTACTAATCAACCGATGTGACAAACTCCCATCCGACAGCTCGGTGGCCTGACCTCCACACACGAACCCACGACAGTCTACAAAAGGGAGCGACGTTTAGCAAGACCCCTCCTTTCCTTCCAAATGGCAGGACGCTCGAATCCCCGTCATGAATTCACAAGTCCCAAGTGGGACACACATAAAACAAGTGCCTTTCTCGTGGTGCACCGAGCGCTTCCTACCCAATACTCACAAATTTTCTCTCAGGACAGTGTGTGCCACTTGCCCCTAACTTCCATACATAATGCCTGGTTCCTTTTCGTGAGCATCTTCAAAGGTGAGCTAGTTTTCCCTTGGAGTCTAGCAACTCCCTTCATTTCCTTTATCTTCACTTCATGTGTCCGTTCGTTGGGCAAGATTGTTCCTTCTCGATTACCTTTTGTGTTCATATAAGGTTCCTTCAAACATTTAAGTGTGGTGCATGGAGAAGAGGTGAGAGCACCCGTGTTGGCCGGATCGCTTCTCCACGGGATTTCTTTGGAACCCGGACTGGCCCGGAATCCCAACCGCCTGCCAGGTAACTGGAGCCCTTCTTTCACACGAAGAGAAAGGGTCGATCTGCGGCTTGCCCAAGGCTTCCCCGGTCTGACGAACATCAGCCCGAGAGAAGGAGGACTAGAGTCACTTTCAAAGGAGATGGCTGAGTGTGTGTGCAGCATGCATGTTATACCTCCAGGCCTGGCCTTCCCATGCGCTCAACAACCCTCAAATCTGCTTCACTCAAAGGGATAGAGCATACACAAGTCCACATTCCATATCTTCAGTTATGTACACGGTCATGCGTCGGGCGCCCCCCTCGAGATCGTCAGGGTCAGTTTAACCCATACCCGACACCTCCACCATTTTTGTAGGGGCCGTACCCTGAAGGACTTTCGAGCCTGAGTCGACCCCGCTGCGGGTCCCATTTGGCTCGACCCGCCCACGCTCACGCTCAGGGTGCGGGCCGTTCGTCCCAGGGGCACCCCCACCTAGTGCTATGAGATGGATGGGGATGGGCCTATTGCGAGAGGGCTTTACATTGGGGGATGTAGCTCCGCTCTCGCGAAAAGATAGTAGCTCTTTGGTCACTCGCGGCGTTTTCTCGATTCAATTAAGTGTGATCAAGCAACTGCTCCTTCCAATACGCAGGCAGTCCAGGGAACTTATTGAGATTTCGTCTTCTTTCGTGTGTAGGCCAAGCGTCATCCTTTGGACCACACACCTTTTCACTAAGTTTAGTGGCTCAAGGCAGCCCCTACAGCATCCTTGGGGTAGGGTGGCATCGCCCAGACCCCTAGCCGCTATATTTTTTTTTTCTTGAGCCACTAGCATTGCCTTCACCTATCGAAGACTGCCCTTAGTCCTTCCGGGCTTGCATTGCATTCAAGAGAGCCATTGCATTCAATCATCACACAAGCCACATCCAGGCATCTACCGTTCATCCAAGCATTCAACCGTAAAACCCATCCTGCATTCCTAGTTTTAGGCGAGGTCTAAGTCCTTCCCTTATACAGTTCTTTAGGTGGATCCAGTCCCGCTCAACACCCATCCCAAGCTACTCACCTGCACAACACCACACGAAACACGGACCGAATACAATCCCCATTGGGGTCAACACACCGCCCCTTCCCACAATCCCAAACTTCCTTTGCCCTTCGATGATCCTTTGGTTGTCGTTCCCTTCCCTCAAGCAAACCATGCCTTTATCTTAGTCATGCAGTTGGGGAGGGTGGTTGAGTCAAACTGACCTCGTCACAAAAAACAGCACTCCTTTCCGCTTTTTTTTCCGAGGCTTACAACAGTCTAGTGTTTTCCCTTCTTGGTGGCACAAGCGACCGACAACCCTGCCCTTGCCCTCGCTTTCCACCAAGTGAGGACCAAGTTCCTTGCCGTTCGTTCCCTGGCAATGTAACAGGTGAGGGTAGAGGTTAGTCACGTGCCATGGAGGGGAAGGGGAGAGCTTAAGAGTCGAAGGTCTTGGGAAAAGTAGGGAGGGGAGAGAGAGAGAGAGAGAGAGAGAGGAGAGAGAGAGGAAGGGAGGAAGAGAGGAAGCGGGAGAGAGAGGGCACGATGGGTGTAGATGATGGAGGGAGAAGAACGGTTGAGGTGGTCGACTATGGTGGATGGGTGCAGGTGACAGGGGTGGAAGAAGGGTTGGGGTGGTCGGCTATGGTGGATGGGTGTAGGTGATGGAGGAAGAAGAAGGGTTGAGGAGGTCGGCTATGGTGGATGGGTGTAGGTGACGGAGG